TATCGCGAGTTACCAAAGCAATGACAAAAGTAATATACCCTCCACAGAATGGTGGAGGGTATAAAAAATGATAGAACAGGATATATGAAATATGTTCTACAGAGGTTTAGATTCTATGACTTCAAAAGAAGACGTATACTTTATCCCTTGAATCCAATAATTAATATAAATCATACGCCTAATAAAACACTCATACGCCTCAGTGTTTATGGCAAGATAATTGTAAGGATCATACGCCCTGGTGTTCTGGACAAATTACTAAATTAAAACAATATGAGGATATGCTTTAAGTAGAACAGGTTCGGAAGGTCATATTTTTCAAAATTCGAAATTTTAATCACATATTCCATAGACTTGCCTTTCTACCAATTAATAACAGTCATACGCCCTAATATACCTACAATTCCTCTCCCATTCCTCTACCCCAGTAACTAGTAATCATACACACCCCTGCCCACCAAAAACGGGTTTAAGTGTTTTAGTCACACCTATTTAAAATCGCTTTATGCGCTCCCAGGCAAATGACTTTAATTCCCTAATCTAACATTAGACGAAGGATCCTTGCTTTGCATGCCAATTATCTTCGTTTAAGTTTCGAAATTTGTGTGCGCCTACTTTGCCAAACTTATTGGGTAGTTAACCTTCTTTAATGGTGCTAATCTTTGACATTTAAATGCTATTTTATTCTAGGAGCGAATTCAAAAGAAATTAGTATTCAGTTTACATTCGACAAAAAGTGCCAAAAAATAAATTTATTTCAATGGAAAGAGAGACGATGATATCCTTTATTTTGTGGAATTTTCCCCACATCCTCGGTCGTAACAACATTTCACATGTATGTATAATTAAAATGACAGCTGTAAAAATTCCAAAAGAATATGTTTAACATAAAAAACCCTGATGTTTAATTTCACAAAAAGTATTGCATACTTTTAGGTGTGATCAAAACGCGTACGAGTTATAAAATAAAACATATGTATGTTATGCTCTCTCTCTCGTGTTGGGGAAAGAGAGAGGGCGAGCAATGGAGATTAAAGTGAATATTTACACATGTTACAATATGTATAATTTCCAAAAACACACATACATATACATACATAGTTAAGAAGAATGGAAAAAAGAACATTATGTTAATTAGCCATAAAAAGTAAACAACTGTTCTGCATACATTTAGGGGAAGAAATACAAAGAAGTTTTGGTTTTTTTTTTCTGTATGACATTTAAAGTTAGAATACATACACTCACACAGAAACTCATTCATTCACACGTATACACACACACACATTGTTACTCATTATCATTCTCACTCTCTTGTTGTTAGAAAAAAACAAATTAATAAAATTCAACGCAGAAAAAATAGAGTATAAAACTTGAAGAAAGATAGTGAAGAGAGAATTTTCTTTTGGTTACGGGCTGGCAAAGCAAATAGTTAAAGAAAGACAGTGAAAGGAGTAGCTTTTAATTTTTTTAGTTTGGATTTTGGGGGTTAAGTTGGTTATTTACTTTTCGGGGGGAATTGGTATTTTTTACTTAGAAGAAAAAAAAGGAATTGGAGTTTAACGTTACCTGAACATTTTAGACCTTGGTGATAGATGCCGTACAATAAGGAACCGCAATGATCGCAGAATGTGGGTCCTGCGTATGTAAATGGTTCAAAATGGTGTACAGTTTTGGGTGAATCCTTTGATTTTGGTTTGAGTTTTTATTTTGTCAATTGTTTTTTTTTGGAAGTTTGTTTTGTTTTGAGACATGACAGAACATACGGGATTTCAAATCGTATCCGGGCCAAATTTGAAATGATGTTTATCGAGATTTTGGTATATTTGGTTTATTATTTTATTTTTGGTATGGTTGATTTGAATTGATTGATTTATAGATTATTTTTTTTTTTTTTGGCATATTATTATAAAAAGTGTTTAAAATCGGAATTTTGAAACACCCACAAAACAAAAAGAAAAAAGTTTTGAATTATTGTTATCAATAAAAAAGAACGAAAAACAGAAATAAAACAAACAAAGTGAAACTTAAACCTAAAAGCCAGGGGTGTGAAAGTGGAAACATAAAAATATTGCTCTTGAATTGTTATAGACTCTTTCATGCTGGTAACATTCGTCTAGTGAAACTAAAAATCAAGGGCGAAAAACGGAAAAGCTAAACTTCATCTACAAAAAGGCAGGGCAAAGCCAAACATAAAAACTTATGAGCTGATGCTGCTGCTGCTGCCGACTATTTATTTTAGCTCTAAAAAGACAGGGCCAAAGCAAAAAAGAATTTATATGGTTTTCATCATAGCAGGGCTTGTTTAACACTTGACCATTTTATGGTCTCATTTAGCAGGCGAAAATAGTGACTGGGTTTCATTACCAGCAAGGCCATCGCCCACCATTAACAACAACAACAAAACAAAAAAAAAAGGTCAATTGCCAAAGTTCTATTGTTTTCGATTAAGCACAATGACTTGAACTTTGAATTGCCGAGGCAAAAAATTTAGTGAAATATGCAAGACATTGCCCAAAAGTATGCTAACTAGATAATCGAAAAACAAAGCCAAGGCCTTAAAGTGGGCTGGGAATGGGCAGGCAAATTGAGAAATTACTTTAAAGATTTAAAAGGCCAGGCATTTTATGGCATTTATGGAAACTTAATTTAAAATATGTGATGGTGTTCCAAAATGTGATTCTATTGGAGCAGAGATTAAAATCCTTGCTGAAAAGTGAGGTTAAGAACGAAATATAAGTATGAGTTGGTTTTGGCTACAGATGTATGGTTTCAGTCTATTAAGGAGTGATCTGTAGAGGGGTAGGTGCCAGAAGGAGTGGTCCATTCTATCACATCTTCGTACCAGATCTAGGTCTGTTAGAAATATTGAGATGTGCGAAATTTTAAGACAATCGAAGTCATGTCTTGTCCCATTTTTGCACCTGACGTAGCACAGATAGAAATATTAGGTATTTTAAATTTTGAAAAAAATCGGATAATCCTTTCTATGAGGTTAAAATTTTTCTTTGAAAACTTTAAACTTTTGTGGGAGAGGTACCAGAAGGAGTAGACTGATATAGCCCATCTCTGAATTCGGTATAAGTTTGGTACAAATATTACGATGTACCAAGTTTGGGAAGGAAGTTACACATGAAATAGCACATTCATGGGTACAATGCCACGTATACTTTATCTTATGAGTTCCATAATTAATATTAATCATACGTTTACATAAATTTTTCATACACTCCATTGAACTTGGGCCATAAATGGAAATTTATACTCGGGTGTTCAATCATAATATTTCCTATAAGGAGATATTGCAATGCACCGCATCATCAGGAGTAGGGTTAAAAACCCCCTAAAATTTCCATATAAAACCCATTATTTTACACAAATCAATTTCATTTTCACTCGATTCAAATTATTTAATAACAAGTAAAAATAAGAAGTATGTTCGATCGGGACGAACTATTAATACCCTCCGCCATTTGGAACGAATTTGGAAATATTTCAAAAAAATAAAATTCGTTTAAAATTCCCTAAAAATCGTAAAAACACGGAATATGGCCGTTATATTGGGGTCTATACGAAGACGTGGATCTGCATAGTTATCTTTTGTCATAGGTCATTACAACATTCAAATATGAAACTTGGTACTGTTATACCGGGGCTATACGAAAACCTTGACCTGCATAGAAAATTTTCTGTCACAGGCTGAAGTACCTATTAGGAACTTCAAATACGAAATTTGAAACAATTCCGATGACTATTGTACCTAAAATCGTCGAAATACCGAATATAGTGGGGTAGTGATATATGGGGCCTATACGAAGACTTGGACTTGTATAGACACTTTTCTGTCACAGATTGTAGTTTCCATTACGAACTCTATATACGAAATTTGAAACAATTCCGGCGAATAATGTCGCTTAAATCATAAAAATACCGAATGTTAAGAGGTACCGTTATTTGGAGGCTATCTCATATCCATGAAGACGTGGGCATGCATACGCAATTTTTTCTCATAGGCTCTAGTACCCATTAAGAATTCTAAATGTGAAATTTGAAACATTGTCTCAAAAATCATCAAAATATCGAATATCGGGGGTAACGTTATATGGGGGCTATACAAAATCGTGAATGTGTATAGACATTTTTCTTCCAGGGGGTAAAGTGCTTAGAAAGAACTTCTAGTACGGATTTTTAGACAATTCCATTGAAAAATGTAACTAAACTCATCCAAATACCGAATATAAGGAGGTACCGTTATAAGGAGGACTATACGATATTGTGAAGCGGTATAGCCCATCTTCGAACTTGACCTGCCTGCAGAAAAAAGACTGTTCTGGGCAAAATTTTAGCTTCCTATCATTATACGTTTTGATTCTAGCGTGATTAAAACAGGCAGACGGACGGACGGATGGTCGGACAGGACTAAATCTTCTAATACACTGATCAAGAATATATAACATTTGTTATGTCTAATATTATTCTTTTGATCAGTTTTAAACGGAATGACGAACTTAATATACCCTCCATACCATGTATGGTGGATTATGTAAAAATCAAGGAATATCTCTTCTTTGGCTCACTTTAAATTATTTCCAATGGGAAAAGTTTTCGTATCCTCTATTTAACCTCACTTTTTTAATAGACATCTCTTTAAATAGCTCCCTAGCTTTGACCACATTTTGGACTCAGAACACAATTTTTTTTGTAAATCAGTGTATCCTTTGCTTAATTCTTAAGTATTTCATTCTCAATTAACAAAATCTTTTTTCAATTCATTTTAAATTTTCTTCAAAAATCACACTTACACAGTTACGCCTAAAAGTATGCTACAAAAACCATATAATTTGTCTTTTGCCTCTAACCCATTATTTGCTAGAAAAAGATTAAATCAAATTAAACTAGACTTTTGAACTAAACTAAATTTTGTAAAGAAATACAAAAAAATAAACAACTAAATTTGGATAGTTTACAACAACAACAAATAAAATAAATAATTGACAACTTACGGAATCAATTCCTTTATCCTTGCCCGGGCATATAAATGTAACATATTCATGACAACGCTTGTGAACGACATACGAACAAACTGTAAATGGAAAGAGAGGAAGAGAGAGAGAAGAAGAAACAACATAACATGAAAATCATGTACAAGAAACAATGGCAATAACATATAATTTTCAAAACACCCACACACACACAGAAACGCTGCAACTGTGACGGTGGTGGTGGCTGGCAGCAGAAGACAAGCAACACCACACGTGTCACATGTCGTAAAGATGAAAAAGTTTTGAGGCCAAAACTTTTCCAAAAACGAATTGAAAATAACACAAAACGAAAAGAAAATCTTTATGTGACATCTGGATTGTAATGCACTTTTCTGTTTCTTTTGCTCGATTTTCCTTGTCTGCTCCGGCTGCTGCTGCTGCTGCTGTTGCTTCCATTACTCTGTGTGTGTGTGTGTGTGTGTGTGCGTTTTGTGGTGTTCTGTCCTTGTCTTCAATTTCTTTTGTATTGCAACACTACTTTACCTTGGCATTGAAAACCCTGCTTGCCAAAACCCCTGAAAAGATATAAAAAAAAGAAATGGGAAAATAAAATTACAATTTTACAAAGCACAAGTTCTGTTCAAAGAAAGGCCGAGGAGGGAAGGGAATACAGGGGGCTAGGTTAAGGACAGCCATATTATTTACCTTTAAAAGTGTTTTCTGAAGAGTTTTTAAGGTTTTATTACAACAATAGCTTTTACTCTGTTTGTTGTTGCTGCCCAGGTTTCGGGCAAAGAGCTTAAGACACTTAAATTTTTCCTTAATTTTCTTAATATCCCCCAGTCTAAGAGAGAGTGTTTTTGGTTTTTGTGTGTGTGGGTATGTGTCTGTGGGTGACTGAGAGCACTTCAAGGATGTCCAATGATTTTGGTTTTTCGAAAAAAAAAAAAATGTATTGTTTCCATTTTCTGTGGTTTGCATCAGTTACAAAACTAATACAATTTGGAAAATAAGTTTCCGAAGGAAAGGTAAATGCCGAGAATACTTTTTCGAAAAGGAAATCTGTTAATGGTTCAAATGAAAATGTAACTAACATCCATTTGTGGGGGATTTTTTCATCGCAGGATATGATTATAGAAAATGGAAAGAGGTGGCTGGATTTTCTTCGGAATCTTTAATTTTCGTGGTGAAAATGTATTTATTTCTAATTTATGGTGGAGGAAGTATTTGTTTTTCAAAAACGAATGTAGTTTTATTAGAAAAATTAGCTTTTCCTTACAAAACCATTAAGTTTACCAGTTGAAAAGGGAACTTTTCTTGAGGCAAGGTCTTCTGTGATGAGTTTTATATGGGACTGCCATTACTGATGCAGTTTACTATAGAAATAAGACCATTATAAATAATTTTCTATAGGAAATCCCATCTTTGGGCTTATCTGCTTGAAGATTTTTATACCCTACACCACATAGTGGTAATAGTATTACAGGGTGAGATAAAAACTGCAACAAAGTCAAACGCCGGTATTTTGACCTATTCCCGGCGAAACGCTTGGTTGAGGTCATCGACACTTTAGTGCCAACCTTGCTTTCCAAAATACTCCAGATACAATAGTCCAACGGATTGGTATCCGTAGGTTTTGGTGGCCATTGTGCGCTGGAAATGAAACGAGGAACCTCATTTCGTAACCATTCCTCGATGGCGCGTGCTGAGTGCGATGTTGGTGAGTGCTGAGTCCTGTTGGAATGTCCAAGATCTGCAGCCAAAATGTTTGCGTGCCCAAGGCTTTAATACAACCTACAGAATATTTTCGCCATAGTATTCGGCATTTATTCTGATGCCACGGTCAATTAATGCGAACCGAGAACCACCATCGGCTTTTATGGCGGCCCACACCATCATCATGGCCGGCGCCTGAGTTCTGGTGGCCAACCGAAGGTGCACATTTTCAGCTGACCTCTTTGGCAAGTAAACACGAGTGGATCATTTTGTTTGTTTACAAACTGCTGGACAGCCAATGTTTTCTCATCGGGGAAAACCAAATTCGGCAGTTCACTACTTTCGGCCAAGGGAAGCAACTCTTTAGCTCTTTTTTGGGTCTATTTTCTTTCTGTTGCAGTTTAAGTTCTTGCACATTTTGGAATTTCAATGCCTCGAGCACGACCCCGAGCTTATTTTTCAATATTTGCAGAATGGAATATTGCGATATGTTCAGCTCACGAGCCATTTTTCGGCCACTGCGACGCGGGTTTCGATAAAGTCGCTTCTTTACTTTTCGAACCATTTCTTCTGATGTTGCAGTTTTCTTCCGTTAACATCTGTGACGTCGGGCTACGCTACCAACATCACGGTAACGAGCGATGGTACGAGAAAGATTTATTCAGACTTAAAAGCTGGAGTGCTCTAACGATAGCCACTTGTGGTTTTCCAACCAAAAAATAAAGAAATCACACTATCACGCTTGAATTTCATCACGAATAACTTTTTTTCTGGAAAATTCTCACCGAAATGCTTTTGAGAGCTTGTAAAAAATAAAATGAGCTGTCACTGGAAAAATTTTTACAGCTGTCGGAAGAGTGGCTTAGAAATGACAGCAGTCTGAATTTGGTTGCAGTTTTTTCATGTATTTCATATCCATGTATTCTTGTGAACAAAATGCAGGTCGCATTTAATATCCGATTTAGATGAAATTTTTCAAATAATATTTCTTTGGCCCAGGTACGAACACTATTGAAATTGGTGAGAATCGGTTCAGATTTAGGTTTAGCTCCCACATATCTTCAAACGATTTCGGGTTAATTGTGCATGTCCAATATCAGTCCAAAAGTCCTGAATTTTAGAACATCCGATCGAATTCGGTCTAGAATTACGTAGGTCGAATTTGTTGAAAATTTGATCTACGTGCTTATGAGTGCTTCTATGAGAAAATCCGATGTGCTCTTCGGTGATAAAATCCGTCTAGGGCATACTTTTCTATAAGAAATATTCGATAGGTTTTCCTAAAAAAGCCCTCTCCAATAAAGGTTTTAATAAGAAAATGCATCTATGATGGACTTTTCTATAGAAAAAGCCAACTTCGATGACGTTTTCAATAGACTAAAGAAAGTTCTAAGGCAGAAGTCATATCCATCTATAAAAATATTCCCGATGAGCTTTTCTATAAAAAAACATAATTTTTTTCTAAATAATAAATCCCATAAACTTTTCTCGGGTTTCTTTCTAGTTTGGTATAAACAAGACTAATGTCTTTACCATTTCTGAGGAATTCATTTCCACTTCCTCTTCCCTCTTAGCTTTTTCACGTTATGTTGTTGTTGTCACAAAATGATATTTGAAACCTGCTTAGAATGTTAAAATCGTGCTCCATCATTGAGAAATAGGAAAAAGTAGAAACAGAAATATTTCAATAACCTTTAAACTCTGAAAGAAATTTACAAACATTTAGGCCATTATGGTTAGGTAGATAGACAGGCAAAGAGACCTTGTTTTACCATAAAATAAGGGAGGATTTAAGGCAATCTCTCAAATCTAAGGGGAGTTGTCTTTTGTCAATTGAGACAGTGATTTAGAATGTAAAAATGTTGAAGTCATCAAAATCAGCAACTGGATTAGATATCGGCTTTGCCATTTATTTTTATTCCCTGTTTGGAAGGGGAATTTATTTAAAATATCAACATTAGGGTGTAATGGAATAAAGAAAAAGCTTTTATGTGGGCTTTTTGCGAAGGGAGATAATTTAACGATTCCTTTATTTACGTTTCTTCACTTTAAAAATTTAAAATTTTGGACGAAATCTTCAGCTGATATAATTTTCCCTAAAATAAATAGAAACTTGGCGAGTGATCCTAATATACCGCCCACATTGTATGCGAAATGCCTTTATATTCTCTTTAAGGATATTGTTTTTGCCTGTGGTTGAAACTCATACTTTGAATCAATGGCTTTTGGCCACATTGTAAACTGAGGGGGATTGGTTCGATTTCTCAGAGTCAATGTCATTTATTCCTCACGTAGCAGAGAATATCAAATCACACCAACACGCACACACATACACACAAAATATTGTTATTATTACATTTCTATAAATCAAAGATGTTGAGAGAATAAGAAATTAGTTTTGGAAATTAGGATTGTGCTTAACAAGACAATAAAATCTTAAGATATAATCTTGGATATTATATATTTTGCAATTAGATTCTTAGGATTGTCACAAGAAATGGATAGAGAATTGGAGAGCATTTTAAACAGGACGATAAGCTTTATGTGGAGAATATTGTCAATGGTTATAAGTTTATTGTACAAGTCATCTCTGGTGAGCTTTTTTGTATAGATGGCTTCACTAACTAGCTTTTTTGGGAGAAAAATCTGTTTTTTTTCTATGGATCAACAATCTATGGGAAATATTTCTCTAGAAATGTCATACCCGCTTAACTATTCTAAAGAAAAGGTCCAAGATGAGCATTTCTCCAGTAACCTCCTGACTATTTTTTTATTGGAAATTTCGACACGGCTGATCTTTCCTCTATAAATTGTTACCACTAAAGGCCTTTTGTATATGAAAAGTCACCATTGGTGGTCTTTTATATGAGAAAAATTTTTATACTTTCCATAGAAATTAGCTCTTCTATAGAAAAAGACCTTACTGATGACCTTTTTCATAGGAAAAGTCATTAGTGATGACTTTTCCATATGAAAAGTCATCACTGATAACTGTTCTATAGGAAATAACACTGTCCTATATGAAAAATCATCACAGATATGGGAAAAGTCATCACTGATGACCTTATCCATAGAGAATTGAAAAGTTTTGATACTTTCCATAGAAAAGTCATCACTGATTAGCTCTTTCATAGGAAAACCTCTCACTGAAGACAATTTCCATAAGAAAGGCCATCACTGATGACCTTTTCTATAGGGAAAATCATCACTAACGACAACTTACATCTTCCACAGTAAAGTAACGTTTTTCATAAAAGAGTCATCACTGGCGACATTTTCTATAGAAAAACCATCACTGATACTAATTTCTAAAGATAAGTTATCACTGATGACCTTCTCCATAGAAAAACTTATCTCTGAGAATGGTTACCATAGGAAAAGTTATCAGTGATGAAATTTTCTTAGAGAAAAGCCATCGCTGATTACCTTTTCATAGAGAAAAGTCATCACTGAATACCCTTCCTTAGAGAAAAGTAATCACTGATGACCTTCTCACATAGAAAAATCATCACTGATGATTTTTTCTGAAGGAAAAAATACCACATAGGAAAAATCATCACTAAATCGTGACATTTGTCAATAGTAATCAACGGTGTTCAGTGATCACCTTTTTTACAGAAGTTATCACTGATGATAATTTCCTTACGAAAAGCCATCACAGATAATCTTTTCAATGGGAAAAGTGATCACTGGTGATCTCAACTCTGCATCACTGGTGAACTTTTTTAAGGATCACCTTTTCTACAGAAGTTACCACTGATGACGATTTCCACAGGGGAAACTATAACAGATAAATTTTTCTATGGGAAAAGTTATCCCTTCTCTTCACCTCTGGTGAACTTTTTTTTAGGAAAAATGA